TAACAAAGTAGTGGAGCGATTCCACAAAAAATAATTGAATATCATAGTGGTATAACATTCTGACGTCCAATAAAAATTTAATTACAGTTAATAGCGACATCTCTAGCCAGGGCTGGTAGCTGTAAAGGTACTTAACTGGGTGACGAAATACTTTCATAGATTTCTCTTAGATGGCGCTACGGCTAAAAAGTCGTTGAAAATCAAATACAAAGGTCGCCAACAAGCACATAGAAAAATTCGTGAGGTCCACTGGTTCGTTCCGAGGCATAGTTGGTATAGCGTCTGGCATCGTTTTGCTAGGTGACGTCGGTTCGAACCCGGCCGGATCTAAAGAATTTTTTATGAGTGTTCGATCTTTGTATTGATAATTATAACAAAAAATACTTAGTGTAGTAATTTCACAAAAAAATATCGATTATCTTGTTGGCGAAACATTCAACATTCAAATAAAAAAATAATTCGATATTAATAAGTTTTTAGAAATAAAACTAGAAATATCCAAAATTTTTAACCGACTTCACAAAAAGGAGGAGGTTCTCAATTCGACTGTATGTTTTATTTTTTGTATGTATGTTATGCGATAACTCGGTACGGTATTTGTGAATCAATTTTCGTGATTCTTTTTTGTTCGAAAGAGGGCACCTCCATAGTGGTCCCATTTAATTTTGAAGAAAATCATCCACCTCTAAGGGTGGCTGTTCACGCATGAAGATTAATTTTTATAAATAGCGCCTAAATTTTAGTCTAATGAGCAAATATTTTAATGGTTCATTTTGCAACTCTTTAATTCGAGGCGTTTTTCTCTCTCAATATACTTTGGATAGTGAGAACCGATTTTTATTATCAACCGCTTTCAATAAAACGTGGTAATTATATGTAATTCCACGTACTTTTGAGGTCGGTTTTTTTTAGTAATCCGTACTGAGATTATAACGTTAATCGCTCTCATATATTTAATATGACATTCGTAGTTGTTAAGTTGAGCTACTTTAAGAGGTAACTACAAGTTTACAGCTAACGAAACTGCTATGAATAAAGTACTAAAACTATTCTATAACTTATCGAGTTCTTAGGTTTCCGCGATTGTTACACATAGGAAATGAAACAATTTTTCCTGATTTAAATCGCGTTGATTTATTTTTTCAAACAAACCTACATTTCGGGCCCTTTACAGGTCCCATGGTCACGGTTGAAACGTTGGTTTGTTTGAAAAAACAAATATAAGCGATTGAAATGCGGAAAAATAGTTTCATTTCTTATATCCTATAACTTATTATTATTTTTCATGGCCAATGCAGTGCATATATGTAAAAATACAATTGTCAAATTGATGAGCCAATATAAAAACAAAAAAAATTGAATAAAAACAAAATGATGTTTATTTTTTAGTAAGTACAAAATGTTATATTCCAATCAGTTGTTCGAAAGTAGTATTATTTTTTTAAAGTAATTGATGTTGTTTTACTCATTAGGTAACGTACTTTCGATATCGAATAATCGTCTGGGCACACTTAACGATTACGCCCTATAAATAACACGGATTTACAAAAATAGTGAAATAAATAAAAATGTTTTGAGGATCACGCTACAATTTTCAGAAATAAACCAAGCCAGCTTTTCTACGCAACGCAGACAATTTCATACGTAACTTCATTTCGCTGTGATGCGTCTGCCTCTATTTCGTTCCACTCATAATAATTTACTCAATCGCTTGGAGCATTGCGTACAAATACTAGATTTCTCATTCGTCGAAACTGCGGGAACCTGTCCGACGCAATCTTTTCTCTAGAAATTTCTCCTCATCTTCGTGAAATTATACGTAAATCCTTTGTAGTCGAAGACAAATTGAACTATTTATTATTGAAACTATGGAACTTAGTTTAATTAAATACGTCTTGTGCGGGTAATGCAACAGACAAATTTCTTTATTTAGTAATGAGTTAAGTACGTGTTTTTTTATGATACCAAGTGACGGGACGAACAGTCATGCCCCTGCTGTTAAGCGACACGACTTTTCATAGCAGCCTGGCACACTGAGACGTAAGTTGACAAGTGTCAAGTGACTACAATTTCACCAGCACCCTTACCCATCAAAACGGGTAAGTAAGTAAGGATTCGTTCACACGGCATTGTCCTGCACCTTTTTTTTTTACATATTCGATTATAAACGGATAGACAGCTGGATGTTAACACGATTATTTTCATTCCTCTAAAAGACGGACAGCCACAATATTCACACAGCAATCGCCCTGACAATGGAGAATTCGGGTTTACAATAAATAAATCTGGTTCGGTTCGGTTGCTATTGACTGATGACTTCACGACATGAGAAGCGATGGTGTAATACTATGCTACTGCAAACCGAATACGTTTAAGTTCATTATGTATGTTTGTTTTTGCGATGTGTGTTTTTTGCAGTACAAACACCGTGTGCATTGTTCTATATTACATGCGCCACTGTTTATTTGGTAAGATTTATACTGCAGAAAAACGTGCAGTACAATGCTGTGTGAACGGGGGTTAATGCTCACATTACTACAGAAATGGGTAAGGTAGCAGTATTTTCCTGGACTAACTCTTTCAGAAGGAGTTCTACTGCTACTAAATATAAATATATATAAATATATATAAATTCACTGATATTTGTATTTGTTATCTTATATATAATGTAAACGCATCAGTAATCAAGCATCATCGCACGTGAATTAACTTGGCTTCTTATTAATTAAAAGGCTAATAATCACAGCTTTTATTATTTTACGTTGCAGCCTTGTATTTTTTATATTCAAAAAGGCATGATAAAAAGTTAACAGTAGCGTGACAGGTTTTGTTTCAACAACGAACGGTCCGGCCCATGTTCGGGGTGCTCATCAATCATGTTGGCATCCCATTTTTCGCAGACGCCACCGCTACCGACGCCGAATGAGGTGAGAAAAGCTTTTAAAGTCAATATTTATTGTGACATTCCAGGCGAGCGTTCCCAAATGGTATTTTTTATCCTATGACAAATATTAAATACAAGATTTGAATTTGAATTTATACAATCGCCAGTCTATGCTGAAAAGATGTCATCTTTAGACGTTCAAGTTTGAAAACAATTAGCGCACTCAGTCTAAAGTGAGCTAATGACAGATTTGATGACGTAATAAACATTATAAATATAACCGTCACTTGCACAACAAATTTTTGAGTCGGGTCAATATTGAAGCCGGTGTGCAATGACTATTTCAACTTATAGTGCATACCTTTTTTTACGATACCAGTTGACAGTACGAACAAGTCAAGTGCCTGGTGGTAAGCGACAGTTGATGTGCCATAAAGAGCTCTAAGTTGCAAAGATATAACTGAAATTATTTCAAGAATCTTTTAAGTTCTCATAGAGTACTTTTTATTTTTTTGCGCCGCATACTTCCGGAACCATCTTTTGTTTTTTCCAGACCTTTCGGTTCTTGGATCTTTATTAAAAAGTGAAAGGAAAGGTTTTTATAAGTAACTTTTATCAACACAATTGTTCGTTTAATTTGGAGTTATCTAGTCAGTAAAACTCACAACCAAATTCGTAATTTTCTTTTTAGTAAATTTTCAAACTAAAGATTAAAATTGTTCACATCGATTTGATATTGTGGTTTTCGATTAATTTATATATTATTTAATAATTGGTAATGACGACATATTAATAAAACATCTTTAACAATTTCCATCTCGTTTTCGCAAGCACGTAGTAACGCGTATTAAAACAAGACAAATCATAGTCAACTTTTAAATCACAGATTAAGTATGATAGTAACTCTTTGATAAATTTAAAACACAAGACTATTACTACTGATAGTGTTTTGTTTAGAACACATAGTTTCTGTGAATGTTCTTATATATAGTAGATTGAAGTATTTGGCATAGGTTTTGAATTTTAAACCCATATAAATGCCATAACCCTGCACGGATATTACTAAATGTAAGACAATATATCAGATGATGTTACCGAAAACTTAGACGATTCAATCCATTCTTGATTTTGTAATTAATTACTACTCTATTTGATGTGTAAACATTTAACACGTCTTCCAGTTTTAATACAAATTACATAACTAGTTTGTACGAATAGTTTTACTACCATCCTTATGTGGCAAAATAACTTTCTCAGCTATTTTCATTTAGTTTTTCTTTCAGGCTCTGAGCGGTGTTAGTAAATTAGAAAAGTGTGTAGGAAATTCTAGTTTATTTTTCCTAAGCACACAGCAACAAAAAAGATCTTTCTAGTTCTTAGGTTTTCGTGGTTGTTATACATAGGAAAGACTAAGTAAGCCGTGCTTTTGGGACCTTCAAAGCGCCCAAAACGTTGTTTTGAAAAAGAAATATGCGCTATTTGGATCCGAAAGAAGTTTCATTTTCTAGATATTTCTAAACTAGTGCCTCACATTCCAAGTTAAGAGGACTCTCGCCTCCTCTCAGGGTAAAAGAGGATTCGGGGACTATCGATGCTGTGGAGATTTCCTGGCGGCTGGAGACGAGCAAACAGAGAGCTGTCAACTTTGTAGTAGTTACCAATGTCAAATAGAGCCATAATTAGAAATTCACTCGTAACCTAATTATCAGCTTAATATGCAATGTATGTATATGTTAATCTTTAATTATTAATTAATCTTTAATTTAGAAAGAAGCTGCTTTTGCAGTCTATTACTGTAGTCTATTTTATTCTAATTTCGCGGTTGTCACGCTGCTGTACAGACTGTTTTAATGAAGTTTCAAAACCTATTGAGTAAATGCTTGATATAAGGAGATCTTGGTTGGAAGCTAACCATAGTAAATATAATATGGAACGGTGTTTGGGCGTATTAACTGATCTGAGAAGGAAGATGAGAGATGAGAAAGGTATGACACCGACCGATGTGGCGCAAAATGAATAGACGTCTCTTAGCAACTGCGTTTTCCGTTCTATTCATAAAAATCAAGGTATTTTATGTACATTATTACAAAAATATATTATCGCATAGAAAATATTATTAACTGAATGGAGGTCTAAATATTGGCCAAGCCTCAGAAAAAATTTGACTTGTATTTGTGTTTTTAATTATAGGTATTAATTTCATTAATTTTGCTGTGGATTGTTTTCTTTTATTTTCTTTTTCTTTCTCACGTCTTTGCTTCTCTTTTATTTGTTTTTGTCTTTTCTCCTCGTCACATATTGCTTTAGGTGTTGATTCTAACTGTTTCACTTTTTCCATTATCCAGCTTTTAAAGTACGTTAGATCAGTGTACAAGGAAGGCATTGCTTCTGAACCACATGAGTTATCTCGACCATGCGAAACTAATCCTACTATGTACCTGGGAATAAAAAGACAAGAAAAATTCATTATCTCAAAGTCAGCGCCCCAATTCTGTTGATTTTGTTGAAATCACTTGTCATTGTAATTCCATTGAGAAACCAGTGCGATTATATTGCTATTATAAGAATATTTGTTATTCTGCTAGTTGCAATGGCAGTTGAGTCTCAGCAGAGAGTGAGTGGAATGCATTCATTTAATCACTAACGATCGATGTTGCCTTACTAAAACTATCATGGAAATTACTACGCATATCTTTATTTTTCTTATCAATTTACTCAACAAATCAAATGTATTTTTTATGTCATATAATTAGTTGACTGCGCCGTCAACTCGCCTTTGAAGAGCAGAATACCACAAAATTACAATGGCAGTTGAATAATAGCTCGATGGCTAGCATCGAGTATTAACCAGAAATAGAGACGAAATAAGGGCCATCCATCCCTGGCAACACATCAGGCTGATATGCCTTATACCATTATTCAATGTCAACTCGTGTTTGCACTGAAATGACAAATTAAAAAGCTGCAATAGTACAGCGCCAACAACTGACCTGTGTGTACGTCTCCACATATTCCAAAAATATTCTGTATTAATTGTAATAAAGATAATATCTCTAACTATGGGGGGCTGTTCCATTCGGTGGTGTGGGCAAAACATCTAATTACAAAACAAACGAAATCACATTTCAAGTGAAGTTTCATTTGAAGTGAAACAATTGACGACACCGGTCAATTGTTTCGAATTCGGGCTGGCCAATAGGAGCGCAGTTATCACCGTAATGATATGGCAGAATAGTTTTCAAACAAATTAAATGACATTTCGTCGCTATTTCTGGTTATATAATCGATGCTAGCCACTGACAAGCCCCTCTTAACTTTTAGCAGAATACCAAACGTACAAAATCCTATCATTGACACTATCGACATACAACACAGATGATTTAAAATTAGCAGACATGTGGTCCTGGTCGTAGGTATATATGATCATATGTAAATATGTTGTTATATCAAGTTTAAAAATAATGGGTACGCCATAAAGTCCATGCGGTTTTTGCCACTTGCTAACTTTGAATGATGAACACGAAAGTTTTAATTTTATTGTTCATAAAAAACGCCCAGAACTGGCAAATCGTAAAGGTCAAAGCCGTCAAAAACTATTGCAGTTAGGTTAGGATGTGTTACCTCGCCGTGTTTGCCCGACATAATCCCTTCAGATTTTCTCGTTTTTCTTTGGTATTTACAAAAGACCATAAAACGACATTTAGCGGTGTACTTTAAAGTGGTAAAGATAGGATTTATTATGAAAGGACAATTCTAAAATAACCTAAGAGATGGAAAAATGTACAGATCAACATAGCCTATGTATAATTGATGAAAGTTTCATATTTATTTTTTCGAATGGTTTTCATTTATACTTTGAAATTCGCAAACCCAATTACATATGTGTGTTAATAATTGCCATTATAAACTGTGCCTCTACCATGAGATTGCTGTGACAGTTATTGCTAATGAACGCGTAAAATGTTTGTACACAAAATGTTGTTTTTTTCGGGGCGCTGTATAATTTGCCATACCAAATTGTGAAGTAATTTACGCGGTCGCTAGCGACAAGCGAAAACAGTCCCAGTAAACTTGTACTAGAGACACTGGTTCAAAGAGTATTCCAATACTTCTATTAATAAAAGGAAGAGTACGTAGCTACCTGTAAATATTTTAACATCAAGCTTTAGAACAACACTTTAGACTTTTGAGAGTTGTTATTGTAAGCGCATAAAGTTAAATTTCAATTTTAATTGTCAAGCACATCACGTGCTCCTGAATCTGTTCTATGGGGTGGAGTATATTAGACTTATTGAAGTCTAATATACTCCATTATATGAAGTTACTTTTTATTGTATAAAATTCGATATTTTCGTGGAAGTTCTGTAAAAAAAAACTTTTTTTTAAAAGCGTGTACTTACATTCTCCAGGTGATAGGAGAGCCGGAGTCACCAAAACAGTCACTAGTAAAGGTAGAGCCGATCATGCAAAACATATGTTCGGGCACCGGCATATAATCTCCCTCACCAGTTTGAGATATACTGCAAATTTTCGCGTCGACGTAGTGCATTCGTGTCGCGTACATTTGATTGGGTAAATCCTCTGTATTCTGTGAAATAATATTTTGGTTATAATATTTAATATACTAACATACATGGATATATCGTTGGTATTTTATAGAAAGGGCGAACGCGCCATTTTGAATAATTTTTCAGGGGTGCATGTTTTTGCTTTTCGCGACTATTTTAAAATATTTGTCGTGTTTTAAAATTAAATTTTTGTTTTAAATAAATTTAAGACTTCTTAAAAAAGTGTTCGTAAACAAAAATAAAATAATCATCTTGATTTTTTTTACCTTAGTGATTATTAACAAACTTATATCTGGCGTTCTAATGTCAGTCATCATCATTAGTCAGTCATCAAATTAATTAAAAATGAAAATAAAATTGTCTGTGATGACTATTGACTTACTGATGACTAAGTAATACTTCATAAAATATAATCATAAAGTGTTGAACAAATTTTAAGTCATCAAATACAATTAGAAATATTTAATTCATTTATTGTTAATATATCAATTGAAATTAGAATTAACTTTTTATTTTTTTATCGCAATAGGTTTTCATTTTTTTTGGAATTTTCACTTTTCCCCATTTTTTATTTTTGGGTGTTTGTGTCGCGTCGTGATTGAATTAAAACTTGTTTTTAAATTGCTAATCAATTAATCGGATTTTCCCCGGATGCAAATAATTTTTACCCTTTCCAGACTTACCCCGACTCTCTTCAAACTAGGACAAATTCGGGAAAACCAGGACAGATGGCAGCCCTATTTATACATGAAGGATTTCAAAAAGAGTTCGTGTTTACTTTATAACAAATTAGCATCTTTGTAATGCACGGCCACCTTCTAGACAGATTTCACGATCTTTTATCGTATTTTTGTCATTACTTTTAGCATAAATTGGACTATCTGCGTATCACGTAATAATTAAACTTTTACATTAATAATACCGACAGATAGCCACACTAATTAACTTTAAGTTTTACTGTACAGCCGTGTCCCAAAGCAACGGAATTCCCTCCGGTGCACTACCCAGCACACCGACATCAGAACCAATTTAGAAAAATTCATCTTCCAAATTGGTCTTAACGAGAATCAAACCGTCCGTCCGCCCACAGTACAAACCATTGGGTCACCGAGGTCTTTACATATTGATTATACATCATTATCACCACCAACGACCCATTTGAACGTCCCACTGCCGGGCATGGGTGTGGGTTATGCAATAGTCCGCCACGCTGACCCAATGCGCATATGATTTCATCATTTAGGGATTTCACACGTTTGCCGAGGTTAGTGAACTTTCTTCGACGTGCAGGTTTCGGCACAATGTTTAAAATTTCAAATTTTATATTGTACATAAATTCCGAGAAACTCAGAAGTGCGGGCCCGGATTCAAAACCACGGCCTCCGTTTGAGAGGCGATAGGTCAAACCATTCAGCTACCACGGCTTAATTATAGTACCTCTAATGTTTAAATTTCAAATTGAATATCGCACATAAATTCCGAGAAACTCAGAAGTGCGTGCCCGGATTCGAAACCACGGCCTCCGTTTAAGAGGCGATAAGTCAAACCATTCAGCTACCACGGCTTAATTATGTTACCTGTTGCCGACGCAAACCTGCGCGAGCCGAAGTTAGCCGACGATGGCGGGGTGGTGGACGCGTGCGGCCCACTAGTGTGTAGTTTTTTAAATAGCCAATTACTCTGATTAAAGTTCGTAAATGGTCCGTACACCAGCAAAGATGGTTAACACGCGTAGCACTACAAGACGAGAACAGGCAAAGAAAGAAGAATAAGAAAAAGAGCTTCTAAATCAGCAACCATGAACGTCTATAAAAGAAAAAGAACAAAAGAAAACAGCTAGACAAGACTATAAATTTAGATGTGGGTAGTGTTAAAACATCACAACAAAGAAAAAACGAAGAACCGCAACCTCATTGTTCACGTAACACTGCCTATTCTGAAACAAAAATGTCCTCTTCATCAAAGTCGTCTTCATCTTCTGTAGTAGCACGGCGGAAGAAGCTGGAGCTAGAAGCAGCTGAAGCAGGAGCTCGCATTCAAATGGACCTGATAGACAAAAGGCTACAAGCGGATCTTGCCGAACTAGAAGATTACAGTCCACCTACAGAACTGAATCAAGAATCCATCAAAAGTGATATTGTAAGGTGGGTCGAGCGCAGCCGACAGGAACTGGAGTCACAGCAAGCCCCCGAGACTGTAAACAAATAGGGTCCGCTGTGTCCACCGGCAGCAGAAGCAGCCGGTATCGAGGTGCCAATCCACCAGTTCGTCCGGTACTCACTCGGTTTTAGGGCCCACTGAAAATCAGCGTCACAGCCTTTTCTCGGTGGTGACAATAGCTGAGTGGGATCCTGTTACATACGCGCACATACAGCCGCGCACATGACATTTAATCTAACTGTGTTAAATATTTCATGTTTGCTTTGTTGTTGTGTATGATTTTATTTTTATTCTTTTTTTCCAGTTATTTTAATTTTAATTTTTTGTTTTAATGTAGCTTCATCTTTTTTTATCTTCATTTTATTACCGTGTATATTTTTGTTGTGGCGTAGTAATAAAATATTTTGTATTCTATTCTATTCAGTTAGCCAGCGCATTGAAGTAATTAGCTACCACCTCTGCATACAACAATAGTCAAAACGCGGCGTTGCTGAGCCGCATCAGCAAGCCGAGGGAACCGCCTTCATTCTTCGGTGAGCCAAAGGAATGGCTACAATTTAAACAGGCTTTTGAAGATGATTCTTCAAAAGCCTGTTTAAATTGTAAGGGCGTGTAGTTTCAGTGATAACGAAAATATATGGCGATTAAGAAAGTGTCTCCGTGGACCCGCCAAAGATTCCGTCAACGCTCTTCGCATGAGTGGAACGTCACCACAAGCTCTGATGTCAACACTAGAGTTACAATATAGCAACCCGGAATTAATAATTTCTAGAATGCTAACGGAAATAAAAAAAACTACACGCTCTTACAGCCGGATTACCACAAACAAATTGTGCCGTTTGCTGTTAAAATAAAAAACTACGTCACAGCTGTTCGTGCCCTGGGTCGTGAAGAGTATGTGACGTCGAAGGGTGTGGCCAGTCCCACCACCGACTCCTGCACTACATACCGGGTTCAAGTTTGCGTCAAAATCACGGTGAAGTGGTGAAACTGGCGGGAAGTGAGGGCCAGACTGAAACTGTAACTCATATAAACATTAACCAGTGCGAAGTGCTATTAAAAGTCGTGCCAATAAACATTTATGGACCTAACGGAATAATTAGTGCAACTGCTTTACTCGATGACGGTTCGACCGTGTCGTTTATAAAGCATCAGTTACGTCACAAAAAAATGTAAACACGTCACTACACCTTTCTCATAACGACGAACAAGATACTATATTGGAAAATAATCTAATTTTACGTGATCTTCATGAAGATATTCGCCTGTCTTTCTCCATCGATTCACTCGGCATATCTGCTAAACCTAGGCAGAACTCCTTCTTATGTCGTTAATGTTAATATTAAATCATGTTACGATTTAGAGAAAATAAAATTGCCATCACCGGCGATATTAATTTTATTTTAACTCTGAGGAACATATCCATGATTCTCAGAGTTAAAATAAAATCTGAAGGTCAACACACCTTACGCTTTCTATACCGAGAAAGCCCTGAGGATCCTGTGGATACCTACCTGATGACGTCACTTATATTTGGGGCAAACTGTTAATAAAAAAACAAAAAATAAAAACGTACGACACTTCGAATGTACTGTGTCTGAAGCGGCGAATGTTATATACACGCAACATTACGAGTATGTAGATGACTACATCGATAGCTTACCTGACGAAGAAACACCGATGAAACTAATTCATGACGTCACCTATATATATGCACAAGGAGATTTTCACATACGAAACTGGAACAGCAATAGCAAAACTGTCAACAACTGCATTCCAAAAGACACCCTCGATAGTTGTGCAGTATGGTTCAAAGCCGGACAGCAGTACCAGGGCGAGCGAACACTTGGATTATTATGGCATCCTACAGAAGACACGCTTGGATTCGATGTTTCATTGAAGAAAATATCTGAAAACATAATCAGTGGAAAAGAAAGGCCCAAAAAAAGAGACATATTACGAGTGATTATGTCAATTTTTGACGTTTACGGTTTTTGATCGCCTTTCACAATAAATGGAAAATTAATTATACAAGAAATTTCGCAACATAAAATAAGTTGGGATGAATCTGTGCCCGACAATATCTACGGAAAATGGCTAAAATGGATTTGTCAACTACAATCAATGCGTGAGATACGTCTGCCTAGACAATATCATCAGGCCGCTGCAAGTGCGAGCGAGACGCTCATAGACACCGCGAGTGCAAGCAGGACGCGCCTGGAAGTGGTTACCAGTAAGCCTGGCGACACCGGTAATGATTAGAATGTGTAATGACAATTACGCCATGTGATAATGAAAACTTACCGATTCCTGAGCCGACGAGATTCTCTCCCCGAAGGTTTCGACAGCTCAGGGCTATTTTTATAATGCTGAAATTCATAAACAAATGTAAACGTAGTAACGAAGATGACGGCACTGTAATGGAGAATGGTGAAAGGTTACTTATAAAATATAGCCAAGCAAAATCGTTTCCTGAAGATATAATGAAATTAAAACGCGGATTGTACGTAAGTAAAACAAGCCGGTTATTAATTTTATCACCTTACCTTGATGAACACGAAGTTTTACGCGTTGGTGGCCGAATTGACGCCGCTGCTAACGTAACTAAAATGTATGTTATGCAGAATAAGAAAATGTAAACAAGAAATTCCACGAATGGGAGACTTACCTGAGGCTCGTGTAGCACATCATCACTGGGGTCGACATATTCGGCACTCTGGAAGTCACCGTGGGAAGGCGAAGGGAAAAGAGATACGGAGTGTTATTTACTTGTTTGACTGTGAGGGCGATACATATAGAAGTAGTAAATTCACTTACCTCTGACTCCTTTATAATGGCTCTTAGACGAACGGGGGCACGACGTAACTGGCCACAATATCTGTATTCAGACAATGGCACCAACTCGAGAGGAGCTGACGTGGAATTAAAAAGTCAGTTGAGGAGTTAGACCAGGAATATCTCAAGCGAAAGTCCTTGAATCATGGTACAAAATGGATATTCATCCCACCTGTTAGTCCCCAATGGGCTGGAGCATGGAAGAGGCTTATCAGAACTGTAAAGAAATGTTTAAAGGTGGTGCTGAAAGAACGTACCCCACGAGATGAAACGCTGTGTACATTATTGACCGAGGTCGAAAGTATAGTGAATAGTCGGCCGCTGACGCACGTCTCTGTAGAACCAGGCAGTACAGAAGCTCTAACGCCGAATCACTTTCTATCGGGCTCTTCTTCTGCCTTACCCCACCTCAGCGCCTACACCGATACCGACTTTTACTTAAAAAAGCAGTGGAGAATTGCCCAGAGACTAGCTAATTTATACTGGAAAAGATGGGTGAAAGAAATACTCCCCGACCTGTTGCCACGCCAAAAATGGACTCAAGAGGAGAGGCTCTTGCAAGTGGGGGACCTCGTTTTAATTGTGGACCCGGACGGACCTCGATGCACCGGGCCAAGAGGCTTGGTAGAACAGGTGTTGCCAGGCAAAGACGGTGGAGTAAGAGTCGTCAAAATAAGAACCAATAATGGTGTGCTCATGCGGTCGTTTGCACGCATCGCTCGAATACCCATGGATGGTGAGTGCTGCTGAGCAGCACTGGGGTGGAGGATGTTGCCGACGCTAACCGGCGCAAGCCGAAGTTAGCCGACAACGGCGGGATGGGGCCGCGGGGGGCGCGTGCGGCCCACTAGTGGGAGAGATCCAATTGCGAGCTTCACTCGAACAAACGTTATTTTTTACTTTATAAATTCTTTCACAAATTTGTACAGTTTTTTAAACTGCCAATTACTCTGATTAAAGTTCATAGTGCATAATTTGACCATCTTTTGTTGGGCTAAAACCCACAAAAGCTACGCTACCTCCAATGTTTAAATTTCAAATGAATATCGCACATAAATTCCGAGAAACTCAGAAGTGCGTGTCCGGATTCGAAGCCACGACCTCCGTTTGAGAGGTGATAGGTCTGTTGAGGTTCTATACCCATAGATTATAGATTTATACTGGCCGCTTAGTTTTGTTCATAGCTGTACGATGACAAGCATTGTTTTTCTATTTTTGTTTCTCCATCGTCTAAATATGTGGTTGTTCTATTTCTGTTCTGGTGAATATATATTATTATAACTGATATCTATCGTCTTCTTCGCCATTGCAAACAAGGTCAAACCATTCAGCTACCACGGCTTAATTATACTACCTCTATAGAAACTAAAATTAAATTATTTAATTGCGTCTTATGAAGAAATTTCTTCAAATCTTGCTCTGTCTCGGATTTGGTTATTACGCTAATGGAGAAACGATTGTTTCTATTACTTACATAAATGTAACCAAATCCAGCAATATTCATCGTGTGTTTCACATTTCGCCACTTATGATTAGGAGCTATAGTAGCGATTTGAACTTTTCTACTAAGCTTAATAGCCTTTGATAACAGTAAAAGAGCTATATCGTAGTAATAATATTGCTTCGCGTTTCCATATTTCGGATGTTTCAATACTTTACATACATCATAGTGAGTTCCTTGCATTGTATAACTTGACCCTGAAAAAACAGTTGACTTCGTTACTAAACAAAAATTATGAGTGTAGGCCACTACACGCACAGTGTTTTTTACCCCTAAAATCGGACATGTCTGTCATGTTAACAAAATAATCAGAGAAAACGTTTCATTCCGAATGCATGAGTAAAATTCCCATGAGTCTCTCTACAATAGTTTTGGAGAAAACCTTAACCAAGGTTTATGTCCCGTATTTGATATTTTTTGAAAATTTAAAAATCTAGTGGCCAATTCGTTCCAGCTAAGTAATTCTTTAGATTGTTTTTTGAAAGGCCTTACTTGTAGGCACGTATAGGCTGCGAATAAAGCGCCATTTAGTCATTTTTTACTTTATTTTTTTCTGGCCTTAGTATATGCTAGTTGGATTTGCAACTTGCTTTAAAACTGAGCTGCATATAAAGACTAATTCCACAAAAAAAATCAAGTACCAACTCCGTGAAGCTTCCGAAATAATAATTTTTGAATTTTTCGGGACATTTTTTTTTTATTTTTTTTTTATATATATAATAGACACACGCTTGGCCACAATCTCACCTGATGTTAAGCGACGATGTGACCGACGATGGGACGCGTTTGCCTAAAAAATGCCTATTCACTCTAGCCTTGAATAGCCCCAAATTGTACTTTTCGGGAAATACAGATGCCGGTAGAGCATTCCATTCCTTTGCCGTACGCATCAGAAAGGAGGAAGCAAAGCGCTTAGTGCGAATAGGTGGAATATCAACGACATAAGAATGGAGTGCTCCGGACCTTCTAGTCGACCGAAGGAGGAACGGTGAGGGAAGAGAGAGAGAGAGAGAACCAAATTGAAAAGTTCCTGCGCACACTCCCCGAAATGTATCCGATAGAAAACCGACAAGCAGGCTACTTTTCTGCGATGATCGAGATTTTGGAGCTTCGACTCCACAAGAGAATTATTGTTAATAAGTCTCTTTGCTTTACGCTCCACCGAGTCCAAGGCAGCTAACTGGTATTGGGCAGAGCCGTCCCAAAGGTGGCAGCAGTACTCCATACAGGATCGAACTTGTGCTTTATATAGATTTAAAAGCTGTTCAGGTGTGAAGTACCGCCTGACCTTGAAAAGTATGCCTAGTTTTCTGGCAGCAGTTTTTGCCAAGCACTCGATGTATCGCCCAAAGTTGAGGTTGGATGATAAGTCCAGACCAAGTAGCTCAAGGTGGTCCCTTATCGGCACGGATACACCTCGGAAAGTCGGAGTAAGGTGTAGGGGACTCCGTTTTGATGAGAAAAGACACGCCTGTGTTTTAGCCGCATTAAACCTGACTCTGTTAGCATCTCCCCAGTCGGAAGCAGCTTTCAGACTCAGGTTCAACCGGGTGACCATCGCCTCTCGCTTACACCGGATCTCTTCACTGTTGTCTCGGGCGTCTGGCACATAACTCACCGCCACTGTGCTGTCGTCTGCGTACCCAAAGATACCGGGCATCAGCAGCAGGTCGTTGATATGCAGCAAGAATAGAGTGGCGGAGAGGACAGATCCCTGAGGTACACCGGCATTTATACCATGAGGAGCAGACGAGTAACCATCTACAACTACACGGATTGACCTATCCTTCAGAAAATCGCCTATCCATGTGCAAAAGCCAACAGGAATTCCGTAAGCTGGAAGCTTGTTTAACAGGCTATCATGCCAAACCCTATCAAAGGCCTTTGATATGTCGAGAGACACGGCAAGCGATTCACCGCGTTTCTCGACAACCTCGCTCCATAAATGTGTGGCGTACGCAAGAAGATCCCCAGTAGATCGTCCACGGCGAAAACCATATTGTCGATCACTGAGGAGATCGTTATCTTCGAGGTATCCAAGGAGACGGCTGTTCAATACGAGCTCCATAGTCTTACAGAGTATGGAGGTGATTGCGATAGGTCGATAATTAGATGGGTCGGCATGACTACCTTTCTTAGGTACAGGCTGTACATTTGTAAGCTTCCAGGATTTCGGGACTTGTCCAGAACTCATAGAGAGGCGATACAGGCGAGTCAACACCGGAGACAACTCGGGTGCACAGTTCCGCAGGACAATCGCTGGGTCTCCGTCAGGGCCACTGGCTTTGTTGACGTCTAATTTGCGTAAAGCTTTCAAAACCTCTTTTTGACGGATAGTGATTTCGGGCATTTCCGAGTCACATCGAGGTAGTGTAGGTGGTGTTTGCAAAGTAGCGTCAAGACGGGAGTTGGAAGCAAAAAGAGAAACAAAAAGATTTGCTTTCTCTTCAGCGGAATGAGCCAGCGATCCGTCATCTCTCATTAAAGGCGGAAGGGATGACCTGCAGAAATTCGCTTCACATTGCAGTTTTCGAGATATCTCCCGGATTTTGAAGCTATGATTTTTGTTGAAAGGTAGACAAGCTTACCTAACTATTTACTCTATTTTAAATATTTAAAAATATTACCCCATTTCTAAGTATTCTGTTACCAACTCTTATGAATTTTATTTTATTTCATTTAATTCTAACGCCATCACTAATATATTTTATTCAACGTTTTTTATTATTTTACATGAGATATTTTAAGTAACGCTTTTTCTGTTGATAAACAATATGACGCGGGAAGGAGTGCATCATTATTAAATTGATAAAACTTCACAAGTACGAGAGGCGCACTATAAGTTTCCGGAATGAATAACAAATAATACTATAAATGGTCAGAAATGAATTTATTGTTTCTCAAAATATTCTCCGTTAGCGTTAATGCACTTTTTCATGGGAATGAACCAATTTTGAAAACATTTATGCCACTTCGCCGTGACAATCTCTGAAACATATCTTTCATATTCTTTGACAGCCGCTTCAGGCGATGAAAATCGATGACCGCGTAACTGGTTCTTAATTTTTGGAAATAAATAAAAGTCGCAAGGTGCCAGATCGGGACTGTACGCGGGATGGCTCATAAGGTCAACGTTTTCACCTTCAAAAATTCATTTGTCTGTCTGGCCGTGTGAGAACTGGCATTATCGTGGCGCAAGATGATACAGAGTTTACGGTTATTTTTACAGAATTTGTCAATAACTTCCGGCAAACAAATGGTCGTGTACCAATCACAATTCACGGCACAACGATTCTCCAAAACAACAGTAGCCACGTGTCCAGTTTTATTAAAAAAAAGAATCAATCATCCGCTAAGAGGCACTTTGTACGCGCCACTTTGGTTGGTTTTGGCTCATCTCGAAAGATCCATACGCTCGATTGCTGTTTTGTTTTGGGACTGTAACTATAAATCCATGTTTCGTCAACTGTTACTATGTCCCACACCAAATTTGACGCCCCTTCGTGGAGTCTGGTAAGCATGGCATTGCACTAAGTGACGCGATCCGTTTTTTGAACCTCAGTCAAATTGTGTGGGATCCACCGAGAGCGCAGCTTTTTCACACCCAAATGTTTGCATAGTATTGATTATATTTAATTCATGCCTATGCCTAAAGATGCCCGAATCTCATGGTATGTCACATGCCTATCTGTTTTGATCGTACGGCGGCACAGCCTCGATGTTTTTATTGTTCACAGTAGTGGACGGGCGACCATCACAAAATTCGTCACTGAGATTCACACGACAGCGTTAGAATTCTGCAAACCAGCTATAAATACCCAAGCAGCACACCCATATCTAAATATATACTATAAGATATCTATTAGAATTTAATTCGATTGAATATTTTAAGAGTTCAAATTCCCTCAAGATATTTCGAAGAAGGTTTCTAGATCATTTAAAGTAAAAGTGGGCACAAATTTATTAGTAGATCACAAGAGTGCTTTGAGAAACTATCTGTAGGTAGTGTTAAGAGTGATTCTTATCTTTTTTCTGAAGTAAGCCTTCTAGAATGCTACAAGACCATTTGTAGAATGTAGACAGTTTTTATTTAGTCTTGTAGATAGTTTTTAGATAATTTATATGTATGATAGATCTCTTAGTAATGCTATTTTAAAACCAAAGTACTAAAGCGTTACAAACATAGGACGCAATTCTCTTAATACTAATAGATTTCAAGTTTCATGGCTTACAAAATATAAACTATCAAAATTGCAACATGGCGAAATTAGATATAATATTTCTGACTTTTTCATGCAATGTTTAATCGGTTAGAAAGCGCAAATTGACGTGCGACTTTAAATACATTGTGAAAAGTGATGTAAAACCTGCCATAAAAGTAATGCGCTAAATTTTAAATATTTATGTATAATACTTAAATAAACTTAATAAAAATACAGTTACCGATTTTCGGTTTTAAATATTTATAGAAAGCTTAAATATACAAAATAACTCATAAAACAAACCATTTCCAAGAAGTTCTAGGCTTCTTCAAGCTAATTTCAACTTAGATTTGCTTTTTAAAAAGAAAAGAAATTTATCTCGGCTACTTCATAGTCATTCTTTAAAAATAAAAATGGCGATAAGAATTTGAAGCTTTTTTCAAAACACAGTTGGGAGAATTTTGTCTATAGCTTTATCTATAGAAAAACTTTAGAATACGAAAAGATTACTTTTACTTGCTTTAGTGTAGTTGAACTTGTCGAAGAATATTCCT